TTCATGATGGCAGATAATAATTTCAGAGGGTTCCTGTTGCCAGTTGCTCTTTTTGGCTACATGACTTAACGCCAATCCAACCCCAGAGAACAGAGGTGGCAGCTTTCACAGGTCCTCAATTGACACTATGTGTTCTCCACAGTATTTTTCGAGTTCTCTTTAGTTGCCTAAATTAAGATTTCAGATGAGAATAAATTACATGTAAATCTTTTTTTCCTTTTTCCAGCTCATGTATTAAAGACTAGATGTGTATTTTAATGAAAGCTGAGATCACATAACACCATGAGACTCCAAAAACTTGATGTAGACATTAATCCAAATGCCTGTAGCATGTAAAACCTAGCGCCTCATTTATACTAGCAAAAACTGCTATAAAAAGTGAGAATTTTACATCTTCCTAGTCAGTACCTAAGCTTTTAAGAAAATTTCTATTAGAAGTCTCTTCACAATCAAAAAAAAAAAACAAACCCACAACCAAAAGGAGCCATAAATTAAGCTTGCATTGGAAACAAAAGGATAAATACTGTAGTTCTGAAATACAATCTGCACAAAAATATAACTTCAGGGAGGAGAAATCATCGTCATTAAAATTTAAAAAGCAGCTTGACAGTATGACTTTAATTCCAAACAGATGCAAACCTAAGTGTTTAAATGACAGGTAAAGGACATTTTACTCCAGCAAAACCATTCTTTGTGTGCAATTAGTCACTAATTTGACGATAAGAGAAGTAAAATTAATCTTTTTTTCTTTGTTCACATGAAAGGCACCACAGTCTAAAGTCCATGATAGTTTCTTCTGATGTTTTCATGCAGGGGAGCTGGGAGCTTACATTTTTATATTTATCTATTACTCTCATCAGTGCTAAGATGGATTTTATAGTCTTAACAGGGCACATGTTCTTGCCTGAGTCTTCTCTAAAGCTTTAATATTTTTTTCCTCCTTCTGTGGAATCTTCTTGGTTAAGAGACTTCGTAATTTAAAGCAAGATATTATCAGTTTCCATGGGAATCTTTTTCTTCATTCAATGAAATTTGTTTTACAGATCCATAATTTAGTCTACCAAATTTAACTTCAGATTTTTGTGTAGAACCACTGGCAATTTCTTTCCACATCACTCATATGAGAGATGGCAAAAGTAGTAACAGCAAGGTTCATAAAATGATGAGGCGTTCCAGGGTTCACGCATTTAGAGCAACACAAATACTTGACTCTGTGTTACATTTATTTGGAGGACATCAGAGTTTCTTAGAAAGTCAGCCGGTATGTGTTTAATTTCTATACAGATCTCTCATTGGCCTGCGACTGCGCAAGCCTCATAGATTTTCACCTTTCTAGTAGCATGATGAATGCACGCTCAAGGTGAAAGAAGTAAAACCTTAAAGCTTAATATTAGGCGAAGTAACGCTGTTGTTTGTTCTGTAACGTGTAGCCGGTGTCCTGGGCGCACAAAATGGAGACAACCATTCCAGAACGATAAACAAAATTTAGGATTTCTCTGCTGAATCTTACTCTTGTAGGAAAGCAGTGACTGGGAAATCCTGGCAGACGAACGTTCTTCCTTAACACGGAAAAGCAGAAGATGCTTCATAAGCGCAGTCCTGAGAGAAGTCGTGCAGAGCCTATGCCAAATTACCCGTTTCAGAAAGAGTCCTATAACCCCACAATTAATGCGATGAGAGAGCTGGTCAACTCCTGATCAACTCCTAATATTAGGAAGTATGCAAGAGGAAGCAGCCAACTTTTTTAATAATTTATAACCAAACATTTTTCTTAAATTCTTTCCTTACTAAATCTAATCACAGCTTCCTTCCAGTTAAGATTTTTGGTTTTATGGTTCCAAAACGATTTAAAAGACTTAACAATTTCAAGAAAATAAAACTTCTCAATGAGGTGCTGTAAGACAGGTTAAGAAAAAGGATTTGTAACCTCCATAAGCAATTGAAACCTTAAGGTCAGGCTGACCCTTCCCATATGAATCAGTGGTAGAGCAAGTAAATACAGATGTCAGAAAGGATGTTTAAGGAAAAGCACTCTCTTTTTCTGTCTTCTATCTCCTCTCATCATTTTGAAGTATAAAACATAAAATGTGAGATTTTAAAACTACTCCTGGTAATAGCTCATTGCCTCTAAGGCAAATATTCCCTGCTTGAATGTCATTGAACATATGTAGTGTTAGATAAGCAGAACTCCTTATACTGTTTCATCAAGACAGTGAAAAAAACCCCCAAAACAAAAACAAAAAAACACAACCAACCAAACAAAAAAAACAAACCAACAAAAAAACCACCAAACAAAAAACCCCACCCTAACCAAACAATCAACAACCAAAACCAAACCAGATTTAATGGCATTTTTAGTTCTTTTATGTTCCTGTTTGTTGGGAAAAGGGGTGAGGTATTCTTCTATAAAAGACACCTGCATCAATTACATTGCGTAACAAACTGTACTACACTACATCACAGTGTATTTCTCCCTTATTTACCTCATAAGCTATTGAAAGTAAACATTTCTGGAATATCTTCATTATTTTGGCACTTAAATACCATTAAAAAAAACAGGTTTTGAAAAATGGCAATTAGATTCATAAATCAGAATATTTCTGAAATCCAGTCTAATTATTTTTGTCTATTATTTAGTCACTACTTATATTTATTACATAACACTACATCTTAGTAAAGATCATCATTATATTAATTTTAAAGCTCTTCTTACTGTTTTTTTCTACTCCAGCAGTTTCTTCTCTGGCTACATCTAATTATAGCCACCAACAAGGAAATTTTATAGCTAAGGATATATCTATCTACTCCGTAACAGATACTATTCAGTTGCAACACCCATTCCGTATTGGCATTATTATATATACATGCATATTACTTGTTTTTATAGCAAATTATATGAAGTGACAGTCAATATGGGCAAATTCAAGAACTCATGATGTCATCTTCAGCCATTTTCTGACAGATTCACTACCTCACTAGAAACTCAGAGCCTCAGGATATGCAGCTGACAAGTGCACACTCATTTCCAGAGAGACTAGTTGAAGTGGAACTAGAGAGTCTGTAACCCAAATTCCAAGGACTAATGTGGTACCATCTGTCAGACGCATTTCTGAAAGGGCAGGGAATGTCCACCTTCATCTGACACTGAATTGCCTCCACATTTTTCATGAAGAAAGCATTAATATTATTCCTTTCCCTTACAAGGTAATCAACTAAAATGCATGCCTTAAAGGTTCAGTTTCTCGAGCTCTGTAATTCAGGTACACGAGAACCATCAAAAGTATGATATTTAGAAATATTTTCTAACAAAATACATCTATGCTATAAGCTACTGACTCCATTTCCCCCCCCAAAATATCTAAAAGCTTAGTAGTGAACTGTTTTGGGGTTTTGGGGTTTTTTTGTCAACTTGCTCTTATTTTGTTTTGCAATCCAAAAGTGTGCACTAACAATATTGTAATCCTTGTTTAAACGTCCCATAAAGTTTACCAAGGTATTGTATAACTGAGTTCTTCATAAAGTATTTCAAAATGCTCCCCAGGAAATAGAAATTTCTGATTTTTCTATATTCATGAATTATTTTTGTAGAACTGCATAGGACTGCTCATCATTATCTACTTCAATCTATCTCTAAAACCCTGTAACAATAAACAGTACTTTACAGAGCCTATAGAAGTTTGTCTTGACTAGACAAAAACGGCACTTTTTTTTTTCCTAGCAATGCATCGACTAGCATGCTGTAACTAATCCATTCTACAGCCCCATCATCACCCCAAACATCGTGCTTATACAACTTTTTCCTGAGCTATCTGAATTTATGTTAAAATACTGTTCTGCTTGACCACACCTCACTGGCGAACAATTTTTCAGACACACACGCAGAAAGGCAGAAATACTGTAGTATTTTGTGAAATAATTGGGATTTGCAAAAATGACAGCGTATTTTATTGAGAAGGAGTGGGTGGCTGCTCCAAGTAGAGAAGACGGCAGGAAAGTTAACACAAAGATGAAAGTAGCAGGTCACAAAAGTGGTATTTCGCAAAGAAGTGATGGAAGTCTAGGAGAGGTAGTATAAAAGAAAACAGCAGTAGAAAAGTCATGAGATAAAGCTATCCAAGTATCAGGAATACAAGTACAAGCCATTTGAAGACAAAAAGCTGGGGGAGAAAGTGAGAAAGAAAGTGCTACAGAGACTGTGTTGTTAAAGGGCAAAATATCAAAGATGTACGTTTTTATTAGCACTATTTAAAAAACAGTGATTATGGAAAGAGACAGGGTGATGAAGCTAGGAAGTTGAAGACAGAGAGGTAAAGATTAGGAATGAAGCTGAAAAAGGATTCAGTTCAATTGAAACTGAGTCTTCTAAACATATTTAGTCTTTATTTCAATTTATTGATTTAAAGTTCATGTCATAAAAAGCAGGCAGGTAATTTGATATTATATCAGCGTTTGAATTGTTTTCAATTAGTTTGTTGTCTTGAAGTCCGTTCTTTAGCTTCCATATGAAAAAAAATACAATTTTCTAATCCAAATGTTTATGGGTGAGAAAGAAATACATGTGCTTAGCAGGAGCGCCAAAGGAAAAAACCAAAAAGGCTTTACTATGTAAAATGTTTCTTGTCTAATGAGTGATATATTCAAACAAGCACCTTTGAACTTTTTCCCCCTCACACAGTGCCTCATGCTTAGGGAAATCTCTCCAGAAATGACAGCAAAATATTACTCTCTCCTTGAGCATGGTTTAACATCAGTACGCTCTGACTTCTACCTCCTCTTATATTAAGCAATGTGATTGCATTAGATTCTTGCAACCCCTTCCCAACTTGTGAGCTTATTGCCTCTGCCTATAAAACGGATACATTCCTGTGGTCTGTGTGCCACCTGCCATAATAGGGTCTTTGTTCAAACAGTAAGAACAAATTAAACTTCAGAAACATGAGTTTTAAAACATGGAAAATCAGATTATAAACACAAAGTATGGAAATATAACACATTCTTACCTATGCAGCTGTAAATACTCTCTGGGCCTGTTTAAAAGGTAAAGGAATCTGTCAACAATCTTGTTTTTCCCAACACCCTGCAGTAAATAAATATAATATTAAGACATAATATAGATGTACACATTTAAGATTTATAAACAAAGAAAAGACAACTTTCCAAAACTGTTAAAACACTCTCCATATTCCTTTATAGGCAAATACAATTTCTATCCACATCAACGAATTCTGAACACAATTTAATGATAGATATTTTATTTTACATATATAT